GCACAGGGATTTTATATAGACATTTGATCAGAAAGAGCAATCTATGGCTGAAGAATTCAACTTGTCCCACAGTCGGAAGTGAGGTGTTAAGTTTGGCAGGGAGAAGTTCAGGGGTCTTGTGTCTCCCCTCCACCTGCACCTCACAGGCACTTCAGGCTTTCCAACTGCTCCCCTAAAAGAGATTTTTTTGTTAAAGGAAGTAGGGGCTGCAGTTCTGCTTCAAGCAGCCACTTCCTGCCAGGGGCAGAGGAAGGGGGTGTGGCGGCTGCGGTCTGCCCCAGGAGACACCACTGGGGGAGTGACAAATGCTGGGCGGCACTCACCGCGGGGCCTGGAGCACTGTCAGGGACGATTTGGAGGAGCAATGGACAGAAGAGGCGGAACAGGGGCTCAGGGATGCTCAAGAGCCCTTCAACCGCCCAGAGACAGAGGAAGCGGAAGAGAAGGCAGAGAGTAGCCAGGGAGAGCAGGGGCTCAGGGATACTGAAGAGCCCCTGACGTACCCAGAGGCTCAGGAAGGAAGCTCAGACTCAGGAAAAGAGGGGAGTTTCAAATCAGCGCAGACAAGGAGGGAAATGAAACGTAAGGATCAAAGACATCTCGCGTGATTCCCACGCCTACTTTGTTGACGCGGGAATCGTCAGAAGCCACTCCCCGAATCTGACTCAACGGGTTCGGATGCGTAATTCTGAACTGTAGCTGTTTCTTGCATATATGTAATAATACCTACGGGACCGCCTCTCCTGGTATGCCCCGCGGAGGACCTTAAGGTCCACAAATGACAACACTTGGGAGGTCCCAAGTCGCAAGGTGGTTAGATTGGCCTCAACTAGGGCCAGGGCCTTTTCAGTACTGGCCCCGACTTGGTGGAACGCTCTGTTGAAAAGAGACTAGGCCCCTGCGGGACTTGACATCTTTCCGCAGGGCCTGCAAGGCAGAGCTGTTCCACCTGGCCTTTGGTTTGGACTCAGTCTGACCCTTATGTTTTCCCTCCCCTTACGGTTTTGATCCATGGGCTACTTTTAAAATGAGGCTGCATTTTAAACTGCATTTTAACCTGTATTTTAAATTGGTTCCCCCCCCCCCAGGTAAAGGTAAAGGGACCCCTGACTGACTCTGGGGTTGCGGCGCTCATCTCGCTTTATTGGCCAAGGGAGCCCCGGTGTACAGCTTCCGGGTCATGTGGCCAGCATGACTAAGCCACTTCTGGCGAACCAGAGCAGCGCACGGAAACGCTGTTTACCTTCCCGCCGAAGCGGTACCTATTTATCTACTTGCACTTTGACGTGCTTTCGAACTGCTAGGTTGGCAGGGGCAGGGACTGAGCAACAGGAGCTCACCCCATCATGGGGATTCGAACCGCCAACCTTCTGATCGACAAGTCCTAGGCTCTGTGGTTTAACCCACAGCGCCACCCGCTTCTCCCTCACCCCCTATTATGTTTTAATTGTAATTTTACTGGTGTCAGCCACCCTGAGCCCAGCTCTGGCCAGGGAGGGCGGGGTATAAATAAAATTTATTCTTATTATTGTTATTATTATTAAAGACTGTAAATACCAATGCTGACTGTGCCAGAGTGTTAATGCGAAGGGGAAGCACCACCTTTATAAGCACGCCTGAGCCACACATCTTTCCTGGGAGAGACGTGATGCCCAAATGGTCCGCCCACTGCCTCCCACCCCCCAGCTGTAGGGCAGTGAGTAGGAGGAGGCAGGTAGACTCCGGAGGCCCTGTGGTGCACCCCACCCCTATGGGCGGCTTACCCCACCCTCGCCCCGCCCCTATGGGCAGTTCGCCCTGCCCCTGGGCGCACCGCCCCAGGCACCCAAGTGGCTTCCTCCGCCGCTGCTTCCTGCCCACGTGCACCTAGGTGCATTGCTCTGCAGGCTCATGCAGTTTTTGTCGTCTTTGCATACGCAGTCAGACACATACACACCAAGAGAGTGCAAGGCGTGCATACACACATGCACATACATGGAGGCTGGAGACACCAGTTAAGCAGGTGAATGGAAGTTCCCCCCCCCCAAGCACTGCCTGACCAAGGCCGTCTTACCCATAGGCTCTAGGGGTGTGGGGCACCCGGGTGCCAAGCTCTCAGGGTCTTTGCCCCCCAGTGCCACATATGCTTAAGACAGTCCTGTGCCTGACCAAGCTTAAAATACCCTCCCCAACTCGGCTTGCTGCAATGCCCCCTTATTATAAACTGGCACAGTCATTTTCCTCCTCCACACTTCTCAGTGAGTTCCTGCATTTTTTTCCTAGGAAAAGAAAGCACCAGGTAAAATGGGAAAAAACATTCTGTTATTTTGGGCATTCGCTGGCACACCACTAATCCCGAAATATTTTTGCCTTATTTACCCAGAACGCCTCGCAAACAAGAAAAGAAAGGGGGAGATAAAGGGAAGTTCTCTTTCTGCAGTTCTCTTACTGCACATAACTGTGGCATTGTGGGAAGTCTTACTATGAGAACTATTGCTTCTTTTCTCTTGCATGCTGGGAAGTTTTTGCCTCTGCACATGAGTCTGAGAATGTTCTGAACAGTTCCCATTGAGTTCATGAAACAGTGTACCCTGACCTGTTCTTAATGCTTTGCTGACCACATCTACGGAACGTGATTGTTGTATTCTTTCATGTTATGTTCTCTCAATATTAATCTTTAGTTATAATTTAATTAGGAGGTTTCATGCCTGTCTAGTTCCAGATCCGTTTCTCAGCCTTTGATCTATCAGTGATAAATGGTTATATGTAATTCCCGCCTTGTACCTATGTTAACCAATCAGCAACAAGTTGCTTTGTGTTTGTATCAACCAATCAGCCACAAGCACACCTGTGGCAATGTTTGTAATATTCAATAAAAGAGAGTTCCCGGGGCTCGCCCTGGCAGACGCCTCATATGACACCTGCCACTCGTCTGTCGTGATTTCAACCCAACAACTGGAGAAAGTTTTTAAGGAAGGTATATGCTCAAGACATCCTAAGGGCAGCACAGCTTGGGAAGAACAACTTCTATGTTCACGCTAAATTTGTGAGAACGAGTGGTGGGGATCTAGGAGGATATTATGAAAACCTTGTTGTGCTTGAGAGAATATTTTTATTTCATTTTGTTGTTTAAAGTTAAGAACATTGCTACTAGCAATATATCACAGCCGGACGGCTCTTTTTAAGCAGCAGTTGTTGGCTAGTGTTTGCAAAAAGGACTGGAAGATAACAGGGGCAGGTTAGCCAGTCCCCACCCCCCTTGATACCCAAATTGGCAGGAAGAAACATTTTTAAGGGGAACACATCAAGTAGGATAGCGATGAATAGTTTGGCTACATATTTAGGCTACATGTTTAATGTTTGATGTATTACTGTATTTTAATATTTGGTTGGAAGCCGCCCAGAGTGGCTGGGGAAGCCCTGCCAAATGGGCAGGGTATAAATAATAAATTATTGTTATTATTATTATTATTATTATTATTATTATTATTATTAATTTATTTATTAATTACCTCCACCCACGTGACTAATATTCATGTACCATGAAATAACAGACTGTTATTTCACAGTGGGGTGGGGGGTGGGGTGTCTGCGAATGTCCTCTTTTTTGCTCTTTGAAATATGGCAGCCCAACTCTGTGTTACTCGGGAGATTGTATACACATGAATTTGATGGATGGCTGGTGAAGGTCCCTGAGTGAGAGGCAAGGAAGGGAAGACCTCCCAGGGTTGGAGGGTGGGAGAAGAAGGAAGCTCCCAGGTAAGAACTAAGAGAGTTCATGCCTTCCTGTGCGAGATAACCATTAAGAGGTTGTAGTTGTTTTTGCACTATTTCTCACTGCCTATTATTATTAGCTTATCTTTTATTGTAAGAGGTAAAGGACCCCTGGATGGTTAAGTCCAGTCAAAAGTGACTATGGGGTTGTGGCGCTCATCTTGCTTTTCGGCCAAGGGAGCCGGTGTTTGTCCACAGAGCTTTCCAGGTCATGTGGCCAGCATGACTAAACCACTTCTGGTGCAACGGGACACCGTGACGGAAACCAGAGAGCACGGAAATGCCATTTACCTTCCCACCGCAGCAGTTCCTATTTATCTTCTGGCACTGGCATGCTTCCGAACTGCTAGGTTGGCAGAAGGTGGGACAGAGCAACAGGAGCTCACCCCGTTGTGGGGATTCGAACTGCCGACATTCTGATCAGCAAGCCCGAGAGGCTCAGTGGTTTAGACCACAGTGCCACCCACGTTTTATTGCATTCTACGATGAAAAAGCTTCAATAAAAATTTATTTGGGGGGGGGGGGGGAAGCTTATGTAAGAAATCTGCCATGCAATTCTATACATGTCTACTCAGAAGTAAGCTCCACTGAGTTCAATGGGACTTACTCCCCTGCTAAGAGTATGTAGGACTGCACTCCTAATTATCATGCTATGAGCTAGAATCGTTTTCATATACCATATTGACCTGAATATAAGCCGCACCCGAATATAAGCCACACATTTAAAATTAAAGGGGGGGGGGGGAGAAAAGAAGCCAATACCCGAATATATGTTGCTCCCTTAAAATTCCACAGGCACTCACACCCATTCCATTTTGCCATATGTCTGTTTCAGCAGCGATATTGTAAAAGCCAATTTTTGTAAGGTGGCGAATTTAAGCCGCACTTTAACTTTTCATGGTCAGAATTTGGGGGGGAAAGTGAGGCTTATATTCAGGCCAATACAGTAATTTACCCACACTCACACAAACTCACTAGGACTATAGGCAGGAGTCTACGTGGGGCATTTTTAGAAATTAATGTTTCAGTAAAGAGCCAGTTGGAATGAATCTCTAGGAGTGAGCTGCGTAACCAGAAACACAATGATTTGATAGCCATTTACAAAAAGAGAGAATCCTCTGAAAATGAGAGGCGGAAGAACAACATAGGATGACCTTGTAGCCTTATTTACCTATGGGTCTGGGTCCAGTCACCTCGTACCCTCGCCAGGAGCATGAAGGAGTTTAAGCAACGCCAGGGTGTGATTCCACAGAGAAAAAGTTTATTCGGTTACTGCGCAGCAGGTACCAGCGGAATTGCTTCCAAAGTCTGGCACACACATACAGGTCATGCAAAGCCTTTTATACATTTGTTTCCCCGCCCTGTTCAGCCCCCTGAGCCTATCCCATTCATGTGTCCAGCCCCCCACGTACTGACTGTGCTCGTGCCCAAGTCATGTACACCTCGTGCTCAGGGTGTGCCCACCGCATGCTCAGGGTGTGCTTATCAGCAGGGAAGCTCGTGACTGTGGTTAGTACTGTGCATGTGAGGAGCGTGATCACCGCCTGGGCTTACTTGGGCCTTGGGCCTGTCTCATCAGGGCTGTTGTGATAAGATAAGAACAGGGCCTCTTTCTCCTTCATTAGAAGGGGGCCTCTTTCTCCTTCATTAGAAGGGGGCCTCTTTCTCCTTCATTCCCTCCTCTTCTTTGTGATCACTGACAGGTGCATCCACAGGGACAGGGCGGTATTCCCCCATGTAAGCTATCACACGGGGACCCATCGAGCGGGATATCATCTTTTGCATCATATTTTGCATACATTGCATCAAGCAGGGGATACAGAAGCAAAGAAGCAGCAAAATTAGTATAGGTCCCACCATTAAAACCAACAGATGGCGGAGCCAGCTACCATCTGGGAGCCATGAGTAAAGCCATGCCCATGGATCGACGGCGGGAGTAGATAATGGGTTACTTGCCACCATGGTCTCCATATGATCAATAGTTGCAGATATACTGACATTGTTATCAGGAATAAACATACAGCAGTGGGAATGAACAAGGGCACAAACTCCGCCCTTTGAGGCCAAAATAATGTCTAGGGCGAAACGGTTCTGGAGAACCACTTCTCGCATTGCTGATACCTCTTGGTTCAGGTCCCTCAAAGATTTTATGGTATCATTGAACAAGCCTTCAGTCCAATTGGCCAACCGATGTAGGTCCCTATAATTCATGGCCACCCCGAGGGAAGGCAATAGGGCTCGGGAAATTTGAGCTCCAACATATTGATCAATAGGCACATTGACTTCTCGACGGTTGTGCAACCGAAGGGAAGCAGGTAATTTCTTGACTTTATATAAGAGGGGGATCACAAGGCCTAAGGTACATGTTCCTGTGAGATCGCGGGGAAGAGATTTATAAGCTTTATCCCCACAAAGTAACCATAACTCTCGTTGGAGTAAGTAGGGTGTATCTTGGTTCTGTGTTGACCAATTGAATGCATCTGTAAATACATGACTTATGTACCATTGTTCTTCAATTTTGTTTACTAATGCAGGAATGGAGGAGTTGTAACCCCAGTTCCTCCCCTGAAGATACTGTTCAGTGGTTTTCAACCATGCACTAGTGTCAGAGAGATAGCAATGGGAGGTGCTGCCATGGTTGATTAAATTGGAACATGAACTGTTGAACTTGAAATCCATAATACGCAAACAGTTGGGGTAAACTCCCCATGACCTGGATCCTTCAGAGAATTTAAAGCAAATGTGAGCAGGTTCAAAAAGCGTGAGCATTACAGGGGGCCGCTTAATATCATTGGGATTTATCTTATTAGTTATTGAAAAGTTCCTGTCAATAGGTATGCCATGTAGCATTAAGCCGGAATGCCTCGTATGAGGTGGAATGTGCATACATAACCAACAATTTGAAGCCTTTAACAGAGTAGCAAACTTGAACATATCTCTCACATAGATATTCTTTTCCCACAGTTTGTGATAGTCCTCCTTTCTGGAGGTTTTGCTCAACAGAGCTGTCCCCCGCCGGACTCCTATGCCTGTATTATCCTCCCCAACAGTCAGACATACAAAGAACAATAAAAGAATCATCAAAGGGATGGAGGAGGGGGGGCGCTTTTCCCCACAAATCCTCCTTCGTTCATGCCAACAGAAATACAAAATCATCCAAAGAACCAGGGCTGTACATATTACTCCTAATCACCACGCCCAAGATGTCCATGGTTCCTCCCACCACATCTCAGTCATGATAAGGGTCTGATGAGGGGTTTGGCCTGCCTTCGGCGTGACACTAGCAGGGCGGTCGTCCTTTGGGCGCCTGGAGATGGTCAGTCGGAGAGGATCTTGAGGGTTGGGTGACACAGTCCAATCTGATGATGCCACCTTCACACGAGTATGGTGGACCCAAGGGGCGATGCCAGCAACCTTCACAGCAGTGGGTGTGGAGAGGAGCACAGTATAGGGTCCCTTCCAACCGGGCTTTAGTGGAGCCTGGGCCCAGTCTTTCACCCACACTTCATCGCCTGGCTCAAAGTGGTGTAGAGGCTCGATCAATATACAAGGGGTTCGAGCCTGGGTCCACCTGTTAAGAGAAAGAAGAGTGCGGGAGAGTGACTGAACATAATTATCCGTTTCAACATCCTGGACTGGGATGGGGGAAATCATGCGTACATAGGGAACAGGCCTCCCAAACATCAACTCAAAGGGGGAGAGATGAGTTCGCTTGGATGGGAGACTTCGAACCCGGAGCAGAGCAAGGGGCAACATGGTTACCCAACTAGACCCGGTCTCCTGAGTCAGCTTTGCCAACTGATTTTTCAATGTTCTATTCATGCGCTCTACCTTCCCGGAGCTTTGGGGCCGGTATGCCGTGTGTAGTTTCCAATTTATTTGCAACACCTTTGCCAATTCTTGCAAAACTTTGTGCACAAAAGCTGGGCCATTGTCTGACCCTATGGAGCGGGGCAAGCCATAGCGAGGAATAATTTCCCGCAGCAGGCATCTAGTGGCTTCAGATGACCGCTCAGTCCGGGTGGGCCATGCCTCGACCCATCCCGTGTAGGTACATACAGCCACGAGGAGGTAACGGTACAGTCCACAACGGGGCAATTCGGTGAAATCCACAACCAAATCTTCCATGGGTGCCGTGCCGCAATGTTGAATTCCTGGAGGAGGCAAAAGGCCGGTCCTGGGGTTGTTCCTCTGGCAGAGGATGCAACATTTAGAGACTTGTGAAGCCAGTTGATAGAGCTTGGAGATATAAAAACACTTCCCCAGCTGCTTGGCTATAGCATCTGGTCCTACATGTGAGGAGTCATGGTACCGCTGAACAACTTGTCGGGCTAGGGAGTCTGGCACCCACACGCGGTCGTCCGGTGTAAGATACCAGCCGTCTTTTGAGACGTCCAATTCTTCAGTTTTAGCTGTCAATTCCTCCTGGGTGGTATACTGAGGTTTTAGGCTGGTATCCAAGACTTGCTCAGGTACCAAGGAGCCAATGAGAGACACCGGGTTTGGCCGCCGTGCTGCTTCTTTGGCTATTCGGTCTGCTAAGCGGTTTCCTCGGGCTTCCTCACTGGGCCCCGTCCGGTGTCCGTAGCAGCGTATAACGGCTACTTGGTGGGGCGCCCACACTGCATCCAAGAGATCCATGAGTGCTTGTGGATGGGCCACAGGGCTTCCCTTAGAGGTCAGTAGTCCCCGTTCCCTCCAGAGGGCACCATGGGCATGTAGAGTGAGAAAGGCATATTTGGAATCTGTATAGATGTTGATATCCTTACCCTCTGCCAGGCACAGGGCCCGTGTCAGTGCAGTAATTTCAGCTAGTTGAGCTGATGTTCCTGGTGTAAGGGGGCAGGCTTCAATGACTTCGTCCTCGAGGGCTACGATGGCATATCCTGCTCTCCGTTGTCCCTCTTCTATGAAGCTGCTGCCATCCACAAACCAGGACAGCCATGCTGGATTTGCTTCATCTTTAAGGTCCGGTCTGCTAGAATAGATCTCATCCATGACCTGTATGCAGTCATGAGCTGGCTTCTCTTCCTCTCCCACGGGTAACAGAGTGGCTGGATTAAGGGCCTCTGTGACGCGGAACTTCAGGCGTGGGTGCATCAACAAGGTCTGGCATTTCATCATCTTGGCTTGGGACAAGAAGTAAGTGCCCTTCATATCCAGCAAAGCGGGTACTGCATGTGGGGTAACGCATGTAATGTCCTGTCCAAAGGCGAACTTGTCAGCCTTATTGATCAGGCTGGCCACTGCTACTACTGCCCGCATACAAGGGGGTAAACCTTGCTCTGTTGTGCTCAGCCTTTCAGACAAGTAGGCTATAGGTTGTTGCCAGCTTCCTAGCTTTTGGCAAAGTACACCTTTTGCTGTTCCTTGGTCCTCATCTACGTAGAGAGTGAATAGTTTCCCTGGGTTGGGGATTCCCAGCGCTGGGGCTTGTTGCAAGGCCGCCTTGAGTTCTTGAAAGGCCTGTCGTTGCTCTGGGCCCCATACAAATAGGTCCTTCTCCGTTCCTCAAGTAGACTCATGCAATGGTCGTGCAATTGTGCTATAATTGGGGATCCAGATTCTACAAAAGCCTGCGGATCCCAAGAATCCACGGAGCTCCTTCCGATTTCGCGGCTCTGGGATCTGGGTGATCGCCTGCTTGCGTTCGTCCCTGAGAATCCGCTGTTGGTGGGAGATGTCGAAGCCAAGGTACTTGACAGTTGTTTGGCAAATTTGGGCTTTGGCTTTGGAGACTCGGTAACCTGCTTCAGCCAGATGGTTCAACAGGTCCTGTGTGGCCTTGTAACATGCGCTCTCCTCCACGCAGGCCAATAAAAGATCGTCCACATACTGCAGCAAAACCCTATTGGGTGATGTGGGGAAACTAGCAAGATCTGATGCTAAAGCTACCCCGAAGAGAGTTGGTGAATTCTTAAACCCTTGCGGGAGGCGCGTCCAGGTGTATTGGGTTTTGGTGCCTGTTCCTGGATCTGTCCATTGGAAGGCAAATAAGTGTTGGCTCTCCTCCGCTAGGCGGCAGCAGAAGAAGGCATCCTTCAAGTCCAGTACAGTAAAATATTTTGCTTCCGGGGGAATTAGACTCAACAAAGTATATGGGTTAGGGACATTCGGGTGGAGGGTTTCCACGGCTTCATTTATAAGCCTTAAATCTTGCACAGGACGGTAGCCGCCTCCTTCTTTCTTTACTGGGAGTAAGGGGGTGTTCCACTGGGACTGGCAAGGTTTTAAAATGCCATGTTGTAGAAGCCTATGCAGATGGGTCCAGACCCCCTCTGCCGCCGCACGGGGGATGGGGTATTGGTTCACAGCCACTGGATTCGCGAAAGGCTTTGTCCTTACTACTATTGGGGGTATGTTTTTAGCCATTCCTGGAGGGTTGCCTTCAGCCCATACCGCTGGACTCACTTGTCCCAGGATGCTGGCGGGGATGGGTCCCTCCTCTTCTTTCACCATCATGAGGCGCCAATACTCCCTCAAGGGTGTTTCCATAACCAATTTTCCAAGTGGCATTGTGGACATGGTGGCCTCTCCCGATGGTTTAAAGGTGATTTGGGCCTGCAATTTTGTCAACAAGTCTCTCCCTAACAATGGGATAGGGCACTCAGGGACATACAAAAAATTGTGCTGCACCACTTGGCCTCCCAACTTGCAGGTGACCGGTTGTAGAAATGGTGCCCGTTGAGACTTCCCAGTGGCTCCTATTATATTAATGGAGCCGTTGGTTGGTTTGGCGATGGGGGTTGGGACAACCGAGTAAGCCGCCCCCGTGTCCACCATAAACGGTATTATTTGGTTCCCTGTTTGCATTTTGACCATGGGCTCATGGGAACCTATATCAGCTGGGCCCGGTCTGTCCTAATAGCTCTCTTCTTCTCTCATTGCCATGACGCCTGATTGACGGGGTGGAGTCCATGGCGGTCCCTGTCCTCTTCTCCTTCCCTGGTTTCCTGGGATCCATGGTTGGGATCGTGGTGTTGGGCCCTGGCCACCAAGGGGTGCTGGAGGGGCATTATTCTGTTCCCTTCGTTGTGCCTGGGGGCATTCCCTTTTCCAGTGCCCTTCCTGGCGACAGATGGCACACTGATTACGGCCCAAACGGCCTCGCCCTCCTCCCCGGGTAGGTTCCCCCGTGCCGCTGTTGCCGGCGCGCAGAGCCATGAGTTTCTTAGCCTGGTAGTTCTCTTTCTTCTTCTGGGTTACCTCATCTCTCTGGTTATATGTGGTTTGTGCCACCTCTAACATCCACTCCAACCCATGGCCCATGAACCCTTCTGTTTTCTGAATTTTTCGGTGTATATCGGGAGCCGCCTGGGCCACGAAGGCTGCCTTTACGACCGGAGCATTGGCAGCATCGTCTGGGTCCAGAGGGGTATACTGCCGGTAGGCTTCCTTCAGGCGCTCCAAATAAACCCCTGGCGCCTCGTCCGACTTCTGGACCACTTCTGCCACCTTAGCCAAATTAGTGGGTTTCCTAGCTGCCCTTCTCATTCCCGCCAGTACATAGTTCCTATATGTCTGCAGGGTGGTCCGAACATTCTCATCCTGATAGTCCCAGGCAGGGGTGGCTCGGGGGTAAGCTGTATCTATTGCATCCTCAGCCAGACCCTGCTGCCTCAAATGCGCCCTTGCTTCACTGTGGACCCTCCTGACTTCCTCAGTTGATAAGAGGGAATCCAGAAGGTACTGTACATCATCATAAGTGGGATCATAAGTTTTAAAGATCCCTTCAAAAAGTTTAATAATCTTGGCAGGATTCTCCTCAAAGGAGGGATTATGATTACGCCAATTGCAAATATCAGCAGTTGAGAAAGGCACATGCTGGATTGTGTAAGGCGTGGTGCTGCTGCCCCTCCCTGTCCTGCCGGGCCTGGTGGGTCATAAGCGCGCCGGAGGGGCATCACGGCTGTAGCCAGATCTTTCTTCTCTCTCTCTCTATCATGGTGGGTGGCAGCTCTACGTGCTGCAGCCAGCCACCTCTTTTGTTTTTTCTTCCAGCGCCCATCCTCACAGCGCGCCACCTCTAAAATGTGGGGACTAACATCCACCTGGTCCTTATAGGGGTCTACATAGTCCTTTATCCATTCTTCTTGCTTCTTACTCCACTTCTGTCCCTTCACTACCTTCTCTTCCAACATCCTTAACATTGTCCCCTCATCCTCTTCACCATCGTCACTTTCGTCCTCCTTATCTGTCTCTGATTTGCTGGGGTCCTTAGTCTCAGGGATTGGGTTGATAAGGCTGCCACCAACTGGGTTCGGGGGGTTATCCTGGGGATTATTCTGTGGTGGTGGGGCCGGTGCTGGGGGTGTATAAGGGGGTGGCCTCACAAGTAACTCATCTTCCTCTGTGTCTTGGACAACAGGAGGTAATTTCTGCTGCCGGACGGCACAGATCCTTGCCTGTGGTGGAACAGTTCGGCAAGCCTTCAGCCAAGGGGGGTTTTTATCCACATTGGTTTTCCACGTGGAAATATAGGGAATCTGGTCTGGATGGTTGTCAATTACTCGCTGCCATAAGGGATTGATTAACTGTCCATCAAGGGTGCCCTGGGACGGCCAGCCAGTCCTTTGGGTCGGCCAGTCCACTTCACAGAGGGTCCTAAGCCTCTCCTTTTTCAATTTAAATCCCCAGTCGTCATCTTTGGTAGCCAATTTCCAGTTGTTAAGGAAGCATTGCAAAGGGGTGCATTTACTGTTTCCCGACCCCATGTTCACCCAGAATACTCCGCTCCTAATCAAAATCCACACCTTTCTCACTTCAGACACTACAGACTGTGGCTTGGACGAGCTCGCGCTGCCAAGAACCGCACAGACCTCACGCTTGGCCACGGAGACGCTAAGCCCCGGCCTCTCACACATTCATCCTTTCACTGGAGTATTCTCATACAGCACACAACCCACCACCCTTTCACTTCCCTTTCCATACGCTGGCGGCACTCCACGGCCAGCCCTTCTGGCGGCACTCTACTGCCACTGCCAGGTGAGGTTAATTAAGCCTCAAGCCCCTCTCTTTCCCCAGGTGCTTACCTCTACTTCCAGAGTCACCCTTGTGCCCTTCCTCGGCCGTCCTTTTTCTCCCACGACCGGACGTCTCCACTCAGGAACGGTGTGGCTAGTTCCCCCCACGAACTGGTAGGGTGCGCGCTGGAGCCGTCAACGCCGATCCGAGCTGTTCGCCGGTCGTGCCTGGCCTCCAGTCTCCTCTGGCGAGGAGGGCGGATCCCGGACGAGCCCCCAGAAATGTAGCCTTATTTACCTATGGGTCTGGGTCCAGTCACCTCGTACCCTCGCCAGGAGCATGAAGGAGTTTAAGCAACGCCAGGGTGTGATTCCACAGAGAAAAAGTTTATTCGGTTACTGCGCAGCAGGTACCAGCGGAATTGCTTCCAAAGTCTGGCACACACATACAGGTCATGCAAAGCCTTTTATACATTGGTTTCCCCGCCCTGTTCAGCCCCCTGAGCCTATCCCATTCATGTGTCCAGCCCCCCACGTACTGACTGTGCTCGTGCCCAAGTCATGTACACCTCATGCTCAGGGTATGCCCACCGCATGCTCAGGGTGTGCTTATCAGCAGGGAAGCTCGTGACTGTGGTTAGTACTGTGCATGTGAGGAGCGTGATCACCGCCTGGGCTTACTTGGGCCTTGGGCCTGTCTCATCAGGGCTGTTGTGATAAGATAAGAACAGGGCCTCTTTCTCCTTCATTAGAAGGGGGCCTCTTTCTCCTTCA